CCTCGAAATAGAGTACTTAAGTGATCTACCCAAGTATACGCATCGCGATCGCGGAATCTACGTCATGATCGCGAAGGCAAAATCCTCCGCCCAACTGCTGACCCTTCTATGAGAATGCGAGGCCACACTCGCAAACACGATGATCAACCTGTTGTGCCAATGCGAACGCGGCCTTATACACGCAATCGCGAAGAACAAACGCTTGCCATCACCCCCAGACATCTCCTATGTGAAGGTCACTACCTCACAAGCTCTGCGAACACGACATCTCCTTCATGAACGTAAAGAACAAACCTCGTCTGATACCAAAATTCCCTCAGCGAACATGACTTCCTTGTGGCGATCGCGATGAAGGAAACCAGATACTAGCCATCAGCAGTCCAAAACAAGAGGAAATGGTTTGAAACCTATCTGAAACTCACCCGAGGTCCCCGGGACCCCGTCCAATCACACTAACCATTACCAAAACATAATATAAACTTAATCGAGGCCTCAAATCGCACAAAACAATATTGAAACTACGAATCGCACCTCAATTCAAGCCTAAGGAACTAATCTAAATTTTCAAATTCAAAACTTACATCAAACATGCCTAAACAACTCGGAATGACCTCAAATTTTGTATGTAAGTCCCAAATGACATAGCGGACCTATTCCAACTCCAAAAACTACAATGTGAATCTGATATCATCAAAGTCAACTCTCGGTCAAACCTATCAGCCTTCCAAATCTTCAACTTTCCAAATTTCGCCAAAAAGAACCCAATCAACCTAGGAACCTCCAAATCCAATTCTGGACATACGTGTAAGTCCAAAATTACCATACGGGGGTATTAGAACCATTAAAATACCATTCCTGAGTTTTCTACACAAAAGTCAAACTGCGGTCAACTCTTATAACTTAAGCCTCCAACTGAGGGACTAAGTGGCCCAAATCAATCCAAAATCTCCCCGAAACCAAATCAACAATCAACGCAAGTCACGTAACCACAAAATACACATATGTAAAGCATAAAATAAGTGAAACATGGCTAAAATACTCAAAACGACCAATCGGGTCGTTACATAGCGGCTCATCCAAGAAAAATAAATCTAAGAAACCCGACGTCGGTCCTCCCTCTACTAACACGATCATCCCTTCTCAGTTATGTTGCGAGATGGATCTTCATGTTCAAAAGGATTTCTTTGACCCTGAAAATGACAGAAACAGAGTTGTTGGTAGATACCCTCCTTCTATCCGCCCGGTCGGTATTCCAATTGTATAAAAAAATTGTGGCCGAAACAATATTGTGATTTCAACCCCTGATAAAGTGGAAAGGATTACTTTCATCAAACCATGATACATGTATGTTTACTCGTACCCATTCACTTTAAGGCTCGAGGAAATAGATCTCATCATCTTGGAAAAAGGAAAGAAGGGTTCCACTTCCTAGGAAAGAGGAAAGAATACATGGAAAATTCACACTTTGACAAAGTGTGTTGCAACTTTAATTTGTTTGTCTTCAGTGTGATTAAACATGATAAGGATCCAAATAAAGATTTTGCTATCAATGCGAGCATATTAGCTGCCTACTATCATTTACCTAATGTATAGGATGTCATACTCACAATCAGCTCATTGATTATCGATTGTCAATTCAGTCGAATTGGTCTGAAATTCGTTTTATTTTAACCAGCTAATAAAATTACAATTAAGTTTGAGTAGAGTATGAGCCTAAAGTTTTAAACTTATAATATACATTTCTGTGTATTCGTTAAAAGCCTGACCCTTTCAAAACAAAGAAAAGGAAACAGCATGGTTTCGCAGTAAATTAGACCCTTCAATAGTCTTGGAATAACTAGCTCCTTTTGACCGAAACAACAATTTATTTCTTATTTCTTCTTTTCTTATTGTCCTTTTTGCTCCTTTCACAAAATTCACTCTCAAGGGTTATCAATAAAGCATGAAAATCTTCTTTATGAAGTAATCATGAGTCTGTATATTGTTGATGATCAAATTGGTTTTGAACTCCCAACTGCTTGTGTTAGCTCACTATATGAACTAAACAATTCGTAAGACAAATTAAAGCCTAGAAAGTCTAAAGAAAAATCTCTGATCAAAAAGAGAAAGTCCAAAGGAAAACAAAAAACCGAAAGAAGTTGTCAATTGTTCAACATATGAGAAGGTTTTTTTTATTGTTCATTAGATTGTTTAGTTCACTAGGTTTTAAACAAAATAAAGAACGAAACTAGTCAAACCATTCGCAGCATCCAGGTAATCCAACAACCCGACCNTTGTGTTGACCATACATATAAATATCTTATTTTTTTCATTATTTCCATCATCAAAATACCACCACATTTTGAACAGGAAACAAAAAAATGGATAAACCAACCAACAACAGCCTCAACGAAGATCTTCTCCGAGTCCAAAATCAACCATCATCTTCAAGATTCAAAAGGAAACTACGTTCGATACTCGTTCGGGTAATTAGATAACAATTAGACTTATAATATGGTTCTAAGGACACGTGATTTCACTTAATACCAATTGATAAATATGAAGATTAATAACAGAAATGAACTATAAAGTAAAGCAAACCAGTGTTAGAATAGAACTCAGCCCTCGAGTTTGGATACCCTCGAACTGGTTGATGTAAGAACAATTAAAATATAACAAACTGATGAACAATAGTATAAACGAGAAACAAAATTATATTGCTTTGATAACTATGAACAATGTCCCTTACAAATGGTTAGAACCCCTTTTAAATAGTAGACGAATTCCACTTATGGTATAATTCTAATTACAGAATGAAATCTCATGATTAATTAATAAACCGTTTCTGATTTGATCTGTTCCGAGATTTACGCTATGATACCCGACCAACCACCAATATCTCACATTTCAGTTATTGTGCTATCTTCGATCTTGTTCGATGTATGTCTCATTTGGTTTCGATCGCTACTAGGCTCGATCTCGACATGTACCTCGATTCGAACTTGGTACCTTATTCTCGTGATTTAGTCTGTTCCGTTACGAGGTCATGCTTCGATGCAACCTCCTTGTCTCTATCAAATAGTAAAATCGGGTGCCGTATACACTCTTCACTCTCATCATAGTTACTATCGTTTGTCTCCTGACTGCATTCAAATATAAAATCGAGTCAAAATCACTCTCCAATTACCCACTTGATGCAATCCAAACCGTCTGTTGGCTTCCTAACCTCAGTGAAGATTCAGATTCATGTGTCAAATCCATCGCCTCCTTATACTATGCAGATGTCGACCCTCCACCATTTTGGTTAAACAGAGACAGAATTAACCCTTCACAAATATTAATGCTCTTCTCCACGCTTCCATAAATGAGCTTTTTCACCTTTCTTCATCACCACCCGAAACAATAGTCTCATACTCAAATAAGCCTAAAACAAAGTCAGTATTGAAGGAATGTGAAGGGATGTTCAAGTTCTCACCCACTCAGCTCAATAAATCATTGAAGAGATTAGGCGACGACCCAGATGAGAAAATTCTCGCTACGAATAAATTAGTATGGGATTTGCAGAGTTGGATTGGTGAGGCCCAGGGTCAAGTGGAGAGGTGCATTGACTGGTTGGAGATGACAGAGTCAACAATGGCGGCGGAAATGAAACAGAGAACTCAAATGTGTCAGCAGTATATGAGGAATAGCAGAGGAATCTTGAAAAATGTGGATGAAATATTTGACATGTTTTATCCGGGAATGGGATCAGTATTTAGTTCTTTGGTTTTGGACTTCTTTCAATATGATCTTTATGTTTGGGTCTTGTTTTTGCAGTATTTGTTCTTGTTTTTCCTTTTTTGTCTAATCCTACGTTCTTAATGATGTCAAGTTAGTGTTATTGTTTGATGATACGAGTATTATTAGTTCAATAATCAAAAGATTACAATTGGCGTATTTTCAAATTTTAGTACTCTCAATCATGGTTCTCTCTTGTTAATGGTGTGAAAATGCCCAGAAAGAAATAAAGTTACCAACTCATTTATTTTTCTGCGCGAAGTACATTGACTTCTTGTTTGGACAATGGCATAATTCATACACATCTAACACAACCTTAAAGTATTTATGTACATAATAGCAGTAGAAAATATTGGACTAAGTGGATAAATTCTTGGTGAAGTTTGATAACTTCGATATCCAAGTTAGCTGCGCGCACATCGCTTAATTTCACGAGGTATTTGCTGCCTCCAACTATCACACAACTGAATACTATTCTTTCCATGAGAAAACACATTAACTGTCGCTGATCATTGAAATAAATTTTCTTTCCTTCCTGTTAATCCAGCTGATTGCCTTCAGTTTTCTCTCATATAATCTAAAAACTCTGCCCTCATTCTCTCCTGATGATGAATTTGTTTTTGCATTGACACTCATTCATAACCTTAGGAGCTCTCTAAAGGTAGATAAATTTATCATTTGAAAATCACATATTTGGAAAACTATACTTTGCATGTTCTGTGCATCTCGTGTTTTTTTTCTTCATTTTGACAAATTCACTATCATATTAATGCCGGTAACCACTCTATCATTTTTATTTTCAATAATGAAATAGCAAAGTATAAGTTATGTTCCAGTGTGTGCATTCTCTGTACCTACTGTTTAAACATTTATGACATAAAACAAAAATTCCACAAATTTGTCAATCCAAGTAGTAGTGTTAAAGATAGACATTGTGTCTAGCTCAACTTCAAAATTAAGTTAGTTTATGAGGTGACATTGCTAGAATCACATTAAGAGACAACAATTTATTTTCTCAACGAATATGAGACATTTAATAGTTTTGGCTAATGTCATAGCGATGTAAGTAAGTATACTTATTCAAGTTCTGAATCTGAAACTCGTCCGGCAATTCTATGAGATCGAAATTTGAATTTTATTGTAAATAGAAATTTCTATGTACAACATTTAAGTATTATAAGGATATTAACACACCAGAAACTCTCCTCTATCCAACCATTTCATCCCTTACTATATATTCACTATCAACCGTACTGCAAAAGATTAAAAACTCAAGAACAATATTCGAATCAATTAATTACCCGAATCATAGTAGGCGTAAGAGCAGACAAAACAAAAGTACTAAGAGAATGTACTGTACCCCAAAGATACAGAGGGTATCCACAAATTGTACATTAGACAGAAAAGAAGCCACCATACTTTGATCACTTCCAATTATTGGATAAAACATCTCAGAAACACTCTCCCTATTGCTCAGAATCATTAAACTATTGCTCACTCTTCTACTGCTTAGTGTATACTCGAACCTCAACCTATTCAGACAAACTTCAAGTTTTGGCGTTTCTCTGTATAACCACCCCATCAATTCTCTCAAGCTTTTCGATACAACGAAGCTTTGTTCATTACCTAAATCAATATCAGAAGTCGCTAAAGAGTTGTTCAATTGATGAAGTGAGTTATTGAACATATATTCGCAGTGTTTGAGGGACCTATCGTTTGACTCTGATAAACGCGTGGAAAGTTTGCTGAGTTCATCTATGGCTGTGTGGAACGAGAGAGAGAAAATTCGAGATGCGTTGATTTCGGCAGATGGGTTGTTTTTATAGAGAGGAGATAAGGACTTGGAGCATGTAGTAGGGTACTGAGTCAACGAGCAGATGGATCTGATTACCATGGTTGGGTTCTTGGCTGGTGATTTCGACTCCAAGTCCTGTTTCATTATCGTGAAAACAGAGATTATGGCTCCGATAATGAGAGTGAAAACGATGATTAAAATGATGATGAATTTAAGCTTCTTTTTGCGTCGTGATGTTTGATCCCGTTCCATCAGGAGGCTGTCTCTAACAGAAGAATTCGATATAGTACTGTTGGCTGTGTCAATCTCCATATCTTATTTGAAAATTTTGTGGATTTTATTTTTGGGCTAACTATGCGTAGAAGTGGAATATGGAAAATGGTTAAATGTGAGGGGAGATAATAATGGATGAAGACTTATCTCTTTAGTTGGAAATTGTGGAACTTTCTTTGGTCAAGCTTGGAGAAAGTGTCGAGAAAGGAACAACTTGTGACTTTTAGGCCAAGCTTCTTGATAAGGGTAAAATTATAAATTTAAGTAAAATTATTTTTAAATTTAGAAAAAGATTTTTTTTTTTTAAATAGACAAAAAAAAAAATAGGTTCACATAAAGTGGAACACAAGTAGTATAGTTTTAGGCCAGGCGAAGTTCTTCAAATTCAAAAATACTTTTTTTTTTGTTTTTTAGTTTGATCAAACATTTCAATTTTAAAAAAACATACTTTAAAAAAATATATATTTTAAAATTTGAAGAAGCTTAGAGATAAAAGGCGGACCTAACTGCTGGAAGACTTGCGCGCCTAGGCGGCCTCGAAAGAAAGCGATTATAAACCGTCTTACCCCTTCATTGGAGAGTCGAACGTTCGTACTCGTAGAATTATGCACTATTTCGTTGCTCCAACTCTTGCTTTCTACTATCTCCATCCCATTTTATTTGTCATTTTAGATCTTTTCGCCCCCATTAAGAATATAATAAATATAAGGAATAATTTACTAAATTATCTCTATTAAATAGTTTTTGAATTGAGCAGTTTTAAAAAGAACTACAATATTTTAACAATAATTAAGAATATAGTTAAAAATAATTAATGAATTTAGTCTTGAATTTCCAAAATAATAATTATTTAGGATAATTTTTTGGGAGAGAGGGAGTAATTTCTTAAAATTAAATTTATCACATCATTAAATCTTACGGAAAAATATAAAATTTGGTGAGGATGAATGATCTTATGAGTAATCAAGTAAGAGTATATTGGTGAAGCTCAGAACGGTGCAAAGGCCCGATAACAAATGTCAAACCGAAAATTGTAGGTGTTCGAACAATATTTGAAATTAAAGCCGGAAAAAAAAGGAATAGGAAGAATTTGAAGTTGAACAAGCTCAATGTATACGGTCAAAATCGATTTTGGCTTTTGTACGATTGGTCGAATGGGAACATAATGGACCGAAGAGCGTCTTCATAATTTCGGGATGAGATCCGAAGCCAGGTTATCGAGTTTCGAGTTTTAGGGACCAATCAATACCGAGCTTGAAGTCATTATCGAGCTCGAATCCAAATCGAACTATGATGCGAAGCAACGTTATCGAGCTTAAGAGCCAAAGACCGACCAATACTGAGCCCGAATCAATACCGGGCCCCGAGTCAATATCGAGCTCGAGTCAATATCAAGCTCGAGTCAATATCGAGCTCATAGACAAGAGTCGTTACAGCCGCACTAAGGGAGAGAATCTCGGAGGGAAAAAGGGAAAAACTGATTTATCATGGGTTCCCCACCATGTATTTTTAGTTATATCTAAAGTCGGATCCCTCCACTATAAGAGGGATGGCTATTATCTGTGTAAGGATCCAACTGTTAAGGCACTAATACACTATAACTCAGATACTGTTGATACGCTCTCATATTGAAGGATTATCATTTTTAGCTTTATAAATTGATTCATCTTGCTTATCCATAAATCATCCCCCATTCAACTTTGTTTGTATCTCGTTCTTTACAGTCAATATAAGATATTCATACTTCCCTTTATGATTTGTGCCAAGTTATACCACGTACCCTTAGAACTACGTACAAATTTAACTTTATCCGTTTTTCGGGTAAACAGTTTGGCGCCCACCGTGGGGCTAAGGATAACAGTGGTTATTTGATACGAATCTGCAAAACATACCATTTTACGCTTGTTTTTAGAAGTATCTTTGATTTCGGATTAGCAACAACAAACTCTCAATTAAATGGCCTTACCTATCGACAACGAAGTTAGCCTTCAAGGTGAGAACAACAACTTGACCCCCAGGGCCGAAAGGCCGCTTGTCGATGCCGTTGGAGCTCGAGTCGAAGTGCCATTAGACGTTAATTCGCATGTGGCCATTGAGGCAAACTAATGTTCTGAACCAGAAAATAGCATTCATGGTGGTACTTGATCTGCAACTCGAGATACCCAAAACGTTGAGGAAAACGGAATCAGCTTGCGTATAATTTTCGAAATGTTGCAAGCTCAACAGGTAGCAATAGCTCAGTTGCAGAGTCAAACCCAGATACCAAGCAGGTCGGAGCCCAGTCCACCCCGAGAAGTCACCCACAGAACGGAATCAGCTATAGTAAAGTCAAATGAGCAAGAGTCGGGGATTAATCCCAAAATTGCTAAGATGTTCGAAGAACTGACCAAACGAATAGAATCATGAGAAAGGAGGATCGAGGCAAATGACAAAAAGGTGGAAACGTATAACTCCAAGGTTGATCAGATCCCGGGGGCACCACCGATATTGAAGGGCTTAGATTCCAAAAAATTCGTACAAAAGCCTTTCCCCCCTAAGCGCGGCTCCTAAACCGATCCCAAAGAAGTTCTGCATGCCCGAGATTCCTAAATATAACGGAACGACCGACCCCAACGAACATGTCACCTCTTACACATATGACATTAAAGGGAACGATCTAGAGAGCGATGAAATCGAATCTGTATTATTGAAGATATTCGGTGAAACCCTGGCAAAAGGAGCAATGATATGGTATCATAATTTACCGTCTAACTCTATCGATTCTTTTGCTATGCTTGCAGATTCTTTCATAAAAGCACACGCTGGGGCTATAAAGGTCGAGACCAGGAAGTCGGACCTGTTCAAGGTAAGACAAAAAGATAACGAGATGCTACGGGAGTTCGTATCTCGTTTCCAAATGGAACGAATAGATCTACCACCAATCACAGACGATTGGGCTTTTCAGGCTTTCACTCAAGGTCTGAACGAACGGAGTTCGATGGCTTCACGGCGGTTGAAACATAACCTGATCGAGTACCCAGCTATTACTTGGGCCGACGTGTATAATCGGTATCAATCAAAAATTAGAGTCGAAGACGATCAGTTGGGTTCTGCACCCGCTGTTAAAAGGGACATCAATCGAGAACAAGGGCCTATCAGGGACCGATATCGGCCATATAGTGGAGACCATAGTGGGAACAAACCAAGACGTAACCCCGTACAAGGCAATAAAAGAAGTGATCGAGGTCAAGGGTCTCGGGGGCTGATGAACAGAAATGGGTTCGACAGGTATACCAGACCTAAGGAAGCACCACGGTTATCGGAGTATAACATCATCATCGATGCATCCGCCATTGTGTCGGCTATCGGACGCATCTAAGAAACTAAATGGCCTCGACCTATGCAGACCGATCCTGCCCAGAGAAATCCCAATCAAATGAGCGAATATCATGGCACCCATGGCCACATAACGGAAGATTGCAGGGAACTAATAGAGGAGGTAGCCCTGTTATTCAATAAAGGGCACCTTCAAGAATGTTTAAGCAACAGGGCCAAAAACCACTACAAAAATAGGGATTTCGGTAGGCAAAACGAACATGAAGAACCACATCACATCATCTATATGATCATCGATAGCGTCGGTACCCCTCAAGGGCCGGTGCTTAAACACACTAAGACGTCGATTATGAGAGAGAAGCGACCTCGAACTCAGGATTATGCACCTATAGGAACCCTGTCATTTAATGATGAAGATGCAGAAGGAGTCATGCAACCTCACAATGATGCACTGGTAATATCCGTACTTATGAATAAAACTAAAGTTAAGTATGTGTTAATTGATCCAGGTAGCTCGGCCACATTATTAGATCGAAGGTCGTAGAATAGCTCGGTCTATAGGGCCAGGTTGTACCCGCAATCCTGGTTCTAAACAGATTCAATATAGCATGTGAAATTACCAAAGGCGAGATAATTCTGCCGATAAATGTGGCAGGGACCATCCAAGAAATGAAGTTCCACGTAATCGAAGGCGATATGAGGTACAAAGCCCTTTTTGGGAGGCCATGGATCCACAATATGAGAGCTGTACCTTCGACCTTCCACCAGGTTCTGAAATTCCCAACATCGGAGGGAGTCAAAACAGTGTACGGAAAACAACCGGCCGCAAGAGAAATGTTTGCCGTCGAAGAAGCAATTCAGATATTCTCACCTTCATCAACAAAAGGTTCGGACTCGAAGGGGGAACGTGATGCCAAATAGCAATCACAGATGTTAGCTTCGACCCAACTAGAAAATCAGAAGATTGACGAAGATGATGAGCAAGGGATCCCTCGATCCTTCGCGGTCCTCGATGATTCCGACGCTACCCAATCAACGGTCGAAGAACTGGAGCAAGTCATACTAATCGAATATCTTCCCGAATGGAAGGTATACCTAGGCACGGGGTTAGAGCTCAAGCTCAGGAGAAAGCTTATTCAATTTCTTATAACTAACATAGACTGTTTCGCCTGTTCCCATATTGGCATGACAGGGATCGAACCGGAAATCACCGCCCATAAGCTAAGGTTGGACCCAAAGTTTCACCCGGTAAAACAGAAAAGAAGGCCCCAGTCCGAGGTCAAATATGCCTTCATCAAAGATGAGGTAATCAAACTTCTTAAAATAGGGTCCATTCGGGAAGTAAAGTACCTCGAATGGCTAGCAAATATGGTGGTATTTCCTAAAAAGGGGAACAAACTTAGAATGTGTATAGATTTTAAAGACTAGAACAAAGCATGCCCTAAGGATTCTTTTCCTTTGCCTAATATCGATCGTATGATCGATGCCATGGCCGGCCACGAGACTCTCAGTTTTCTCGATGCCTATTCCGGGTACAACCAAATACAAATCAACCCGGAAGATCAGGAAAAGACTTCGTTTATCATAAAGTATGGGACTTATTGTTATAATGTAATGCCATTCGGTCTAAAAAATGCTGGTGCAACTTATAAATGCTTAGTAAACCGAATGTTCGAAAAGCAAATAGGAAAATCAATAGAAGTTTATATTGATGACGTGTTAGT